GTCTGCACCTCGGTGGTGTGGGGCTTTGCCCTCTTCTTCTTCTTCCAGGGACTCAGCACCTGGCAGGTGAGTAGTCATCCCGCCGAGAAGGTGGGGAGTCGCCCACAGTTTCGTTGTGAGCCAACAAATGGCCAGTTCTCTTTTCAAACACCATTTGTGAGCACCTGCTGAACTCTGTCACAGCTGCTTTCTCATTTAATCTTCCCAACTTTCAGTACACCAGCATGGAGGTATCCCCATTTTACTCATGAGGCAGCTGAGGTTCAGAGAGGCCAAGTGACCTGCCCAAGGTCACACAGCCAGTGAGTGGGACATCTGGGGTTTGAAGCCAGAAATGCCAGGTTCTCCCTTTTGCCTCACAGGCACCCACCATGAATCACGCTTCAATTCTGTGATCAGAACTAAGTCTAGCACGGTCTCTTCCTTTGAAGTACTTAAAATCTAGTGAGAGAGAGAGAGAGAGAGAGAGAGAGAGAGAGAGATGAACAATTCCTGGACTGCTCTTTGCAATATGATATAGGAGGTGAAGGTATGGGCAAGACAGGAAGGAGGAATGGACACGAGGGCAGAGGACAGAGGAGATCCAGGAAAGCTTCCTGGAGGAGGCAGACTGTGCTCGTAGCCTTATAGGCCTTGGGTGATGAGAAAGCATCCTGTGGCCCACAGATGCTGTGACTTGAGTAACGTTACAGAGGCAGAACTAGACGAGGCAGATTTAGAGTCGTGAATGCACTAATTTGGGAGCTGAGTAAAAGACTGAGCTCCTGAGGGCAAGGCAGTTCCGGTCTTCTCCGTGGCCTCAGCGTGGGGCACAGACAGTCCCCAGACACAGTAATGTCCGGGCAGGGTTTGCTGGATAGGGTTATGGGTGAGCATGGAGGACCACGAGTGCCTTAGGTCATGGCCCACAGGTCATAGCTCCTGTTGTCCTCGAGCAGGGCTGTGTGACCAACCAATAATACTTTGGAGAAAAAGTGATCCTGGAGTCACTGATTAGAGCAGGGGGCAGAGTCCGAGGCAGGGAACCAAGTTAGGAGGCTTTTGAAGCCTTCTAGTGTCTCCAGGTGATCTCAGCCCTGTGCTCTCTTACATAAAGGGCAGAAGAATCTGAGGGTAAAAGTGAAAGGAAAGGGAAGAACAGAAGCCAGCGTCCTCGGGGAGAAGCGTGTAACAGCCAGTTCTTAGGTGTGGGAGACGAGGCAAGGGCGAGTCAGAGGAGGGTGCTCTCCTGCCTGGCGCCGGGAGCAGGGCAGCCCGAGGGAGCCGGCAGCAGGTCTGGCCCCAGCCTTGGTGGGCAGCGTCCGCAGGCGGCTCTCCCTGTTCCTCCCCAGAAAACCCCCGCAGAGTCTCGGGAACACAACCGAGACTGCATCCTTCTGGACTTCTTTGACGACCACGACATCTGGCACTTCCTCTCCTCCATTGCCATGTTCGGGTCGTTCCTGGTACGTGAGACTCTTCTGCCCAAGCATGGGGAGAGGCCGAGGCCGGCCCCTTGCCTGTGCTTGACTCAGCGTCCACCCCCCAGGTGTTGCTGACACTGGACGATGACCTGGACACCGTGCAGCGGGACAAGATCTATGTCTTCTAGTGGGAGCCAGGCCCCTCGCTTTACTCAGGGGACCCTGAGCTCCTCTGTCTCCCTGCCCAGAGCCCCTGCAGCTCTGGGGGCGTGCATCCCCGCCCTGCAGCCCAGTGTGGGTAGTGGCGGGACAGCGAGGCCCAAGCTTGGCCCGGGACAGTCACAGCGGTGGGCCTGGCGGCTGCCCTCTGCTAAGAAGGAGGCCTCCTCCCGCAAGACCCCAGATGTTGGCCACTTGTTGCTGCTTCTCAGTGTTGAGGGCCTCTCAGGGGCCCTGTCCGTTGGCTCTCCGTCTGTTCCTCTGCAGGAGGAAGGAGGAAAGTGTTGCCCTGCCCAGTTCATGCCTTGCGTTCTGCCCGTCCCTCCCCTCCCCACGAGCCTATGACTGCGAGCCCTTTCTTCTCCCTGAGTTCCAGTCCAGGGCCCGGTTGGGCCTGATTCTCTGTCCTGCACCAGGGCCCCATAGCGCTTTGGGGCCATACCTGACTGCCATCACTGCCCATTCCAGCCAGGATGAACGGGCTGTAGGATTTTGGAGGCTGGCCAGCTGGTGCCACGCTTTTGGTGCTATGGCCTAAGAGGGGCTTCAGGCAGTGCCGCCTCCTCCCTTTGACCTGTGCTTGGAGCCGGTTCTGTAGTAATAAGGGTCAGCTCATGTGTGAGAGTCGCCTTTGAGCTGAGGGACTGAATTCAGAGGTCACTTGCCTATGTCGTCAGCCCCCGGACTGATGTTGGCACCAGGATCAGAGGGAAAGATCAGTTCACCCCTTTCCTTCTTTTTCTTTCCAGGCCCTCTGTCCTGCCAAGCCCCCACTGGGGGCCTTTCAGTGCCATTGACACTGCCCAAGAGTGTCCAGGGGCAGAGGAGTGGGACACAAGGCGCCTAGCTCCTCTTGTCTCCTCATAGCCGCGGGAGCCCCAGTGCCTATCTTAGAGGGGGGCTCAGGAAGGGACATGATCTTCCTCTCAATGTCCCCAGTCCAGCCTCACTCTAGGACCTGGGGCTGGCTTCGGTGTTTCCGTCCTGTCTTTGGCCAAGTTTTGTGTTAGTCACACACATATACATGTATGAAACCTTGAAGTTTACACCGAGCCGCCCCAGCTCTGGGCCCCCTGGCTGCTCTGTCCTTCGAACCCCTTCCCCTACCCGGTCCATTCCAGATGCCAAGACTGGGGGAGGGCAGGTCAGGCCTCTGCCTTGGGGATGGGAGTGTGTCTTATTCTGCCCAACTTGTTTTTACAGCTCTCCCTTGGGCTGGGGAGAGGAGGTGGATCTGGATCCGTTTTCAGAACTCCGTTTAATGTCTGTTGCCATGCTATGGTTGCATTTCTGTTTTCTGTGAATGGGTCTGCATTCAATTAAAGAAACAACCGGACGCAGCTCTTGGGCCCCTGTTTGCTCCTCCTTTCTGGGTGGAGATGTTGAGAATGAAGGGCGGGGCAGCAGTCCTACATTTTCCGGTTCTCCTGGTCTACCTTTCTCTCTCAACAAGAGATTCCCCTTTGTCTCCCCCACGTGTCCTCGCGTCCTCGGTCCCCAAGGTTATTCCTGTCCTTTGAGCAATAGCATCAATCCAGGAAACACTTACCAGGGGCCGTTCCGGGTACTGTGCTGAGCAGAGAGGAGAGTGTGGTGAATAAGCCTTAGCAGCACCATCTCTCCTCTGCGACCCCCACCCCTTACCTGTCAAATGGCAGCAGCTTCTGGCCCACCTGCCCCCCCCACCCCCGCCCAAGTCGGGCCGGTTTCACTTCTGACCCTAGCCTCTCCCGGCTGGGCAGGCTGTGTGTGCAGGCAGTACTTCCTGACATGACTCTTTTTTTTTTTTTTTTTTTTTTTGGTGAGCGAGAGAGCAAGTGGGGGAGGGGCAGAGAGAGAAGGAGACAGAACCTGAAGCAGGCTCCAACCCACAAACCGTGAGGTCATGACAGCCCAAATCGGGAGTTGGATGCTTAACCCACTGAGCCACCCAGGCACCGCCCCTGACACGACTTGAATAGAGAATGCAGGCCGAGGCCTGGAAGGTTCTTGGGGGAACACAAGCTGCTGGTATATGGTGGGTTACTGCGCGCGGGCGGCAGGCAGGCTCCCAGAAGCGGGCATTTGAAATGACCCTAGAAAGTTGATTTAGGTTCCAGCGGGCCTAGGATAGCAAGATCGGGGCGGTGGCAGAAAGCTGGTGAATTCACAACTCACCAGAGGACTGCCGCCCTCTAGCTGATTCCCCGCCCCTCTCCCTGCCCTTCCCAGCAAACGCCACTGGAGGGCACCCTAGCTCTGTGCCACTGGGCTCTGGCCAGGGGAGGCAGGCTGTGGTGGGCGGGCCTCCCACCAAGGCCAGGCCTGGCTGACCCCTCCCGGAGGTGCCGGGTGTGCCGGCGTCCAGTGTGTGGTGGGGAGTGTCAGCCCCTCCCTGCCAAGCCGTCCTGGGAAAAGGGGTGGGGTGGTGCCACAGCCGGCAGCCCAGAGACCCCGCAGCAAGTCTCGCCTCCTGCCCCTTCGCCAGACCCCTGAGGCCCGGGTGCAAGCCACGTAGGAGTGAGTCTCCTTCCTGGAGGGATGGAGCCCAGTCTGTTCTTTAGGGGAGGCACAGACTGTTCCAAAGGGAGGGAGGGAGGAGAGCGGCCTCTGAGCCTCCAACCCAGCCTTGGTGTCTCAGCCCCGCCAGGCCTTAGAGACGCCCTGGATGAGGGCCAGGGTCCACTGAGCTGCTGCCCAGCCCTCAGATTCCGCCCCAGCTAAAGCATCTAACTCAAGACCCACCCCAACTGGAAGCGCCCAACCTGAGCAGGGTGGTTACACCCGACAGACTCTCAGCTCCCAGTCGGGGGCCTCTGGGGACGTCCGGCTTCTGCCACTCATGGCCTCCCACGTGGCCTCGGGTGACATGCACCCTGAGCCTGTTTCTTCACGTGTAACGCGAGGTTAGTGATTATCCCACCAGGTAGCCGTGGAGATTAAATGAGAGCATTTGCGGCAGGTCCTCAGTAAAGGAAGTTCCTAGAGTCGAACCCTCAGGAGGACAGGGTGGTGGGTTACTCTACCACGGACCTCAGGGATCTGTCCCCCAGCTCTTTCCCCCTCTCCCTGGCCAGACCCTCTTGAATTGCCCCCTCCCGTCAAGTCACACACGGGGGCAGGGAGCAGTGCAGAAGGAGCAGCCCTAGGGCCAGACAGCAGGGCAGGGCTTCGTGGTCCTGTCCATAAAAGGCTTTTCCCCGGCCGCTTCCCAGCCGGCAGCGCAGCTCCGCCCCGCCGGCTCCATCTCCAAAGCACGCAGAGAATGTCCCGGGCAGCCCCCGGCAGACTGCTCCAACTTGGTGTCTTTCCCCAAATATGGAGTCTGTGTGGAGTCACTGGGGGGGCGGGGGGTGGGGAACGGGACGGGTTCCTCTGGCAGGGAGGGGGCCCAGGGGTGAGCCAGCGGGGGAGGCTGACATCACCGCGGCAGCGGCCCTTTAAACCCCCCACCCAGCCGGCGCCCCATCCTGTCTGTCCAAGTTCAGACACGGAGAGCTCATTCCCGCCTGCGAGTCTCGAGGAACTCCTGTAAGTGCAGGCATCCCCGGGTTGGAGGGGAGGTGGGCTAGGGCTTAGGGACCACGGGGGTATTGCAGAGGGGCTCTCACGGGCCCTGGGCTGCAACCCCATGGCGGGGAAGCACGTCCTCTCCTCGTGCATTCCTCATCTCCAGATGGGGAGGTGGCCTTAGCTCGATGAGGGTGGGGGGGGTGGGGTGGGGGGGGGGGTGGGTGAGATTGCTGGAATCTCGTACTTGGAGTCCTTGGACCAGGCAGCCCCAGGCTGATCTCAAGATGGCTTGGCCGGTCAGAGGGACTGATGGTGGAGACCTGAGGTCTGAGGTGACAGGGAGGCTCCCCACGTTTTTGGCCATGGTCGTACCGACAGAGTGTGTGATGGGCTCAAGGTATTGGGTTAGACCCAAGGCTCTGTCTGTCGTCCATGTAAGAGGACATCCAAGGAGGTGAGGAGGTGTGCGAGCACAGCAGTGCTGGAGAGCAGTGTCCTGCTGGCGGGCGCTCGGGTCTGAGCAGCACAGAAGCCCTGGGAGCCACTGAGGCAGTGGAAAGGACCACCAGACTCCTGTACCCTGGAACAGCCAGGGTGGCCCGGTGCAGGGACCTGCGAGAGCTGCGTTTTCTAGACACATGGCTCCTTCCATCCTCTGAAATGGGAGATGACCGCACGGCAGGCAGAGGGGTGAGGGCTGGGCACCCACAGGGGCTTTGCAGTGTTGTCCTGGATGGCTCACACAGGGCTGGGCGGGCCTGGGACCCTGGGCCTTTCCCGAAGGGTCTAGCTGGTTCCCTCAATGGTTGCTCTCCAAAGGGCAGCAGTGAATAGGGCTGCTCTTCTCTGCTTCCAGAATTTAGAGGAGCCGTCCCTCTTGCCTTCTCAGAGATCCACGTGTGCCTGCTCTTATTGGCTGTGTTCTATTTCGAAGAGCCAGGGGCCCGGTGGTCCTGGAGAGACCCCCGGTTCCCGCCGGTAACAGGTGCATGCCACCCCTTTGCAGCTGGCCCTTGTTCTTTCTCTCAGGGGAGGGGAAGCTGACAGGAGCCACGGGGCCAGAGGGTCAAAGCGGAGTCCAGCTGGCCGGCCTGGCCTGCTCCAGGAGGCTTTGTCTAGAAAGGCCTCTGGGTGGGCTGCCTGGCAACTGTTTCCCTCTCCTCTTCCTACAGCTCCAAGGTGGGACTGGGGAGGTCTTGGTCAGAGGACTTAATGAGATTTCTTGGAATTCTCCACTTCCGGACTCCTCATGCGGAGGCAGAGGGTGGGGTTGGGATGGGTGGGGTGCATTTCATCCCCTTCCCTGTTCTGATAAAAATCAAATATTGTCTCTAGATCTAGGGGCTGCAGCTTTGTGTACTTCTCACTGTGAGCCTCGATACCTTAACTATCTGCTCCGAATCTCTTAGACTGCAAGCTGGGGGTGACGGCACTCCGCTTCCGTCCTGCTCCTCACCTGCTGGCGCAGGGTCTGGGAGGGTAGGTGGGTGGGGAGGACGAGGAGGGCAGGGCGGGGAAGGTGGGGTGTGCGCTGCCTGCCTGGGCTGGTGGGGTGAAGGCCGAGCGGGGCCCAGGATGAAGGATGGGCCGAGGGCACTTGGACCCAGCTGACTCGTGGGTTTGGACCCCTCGTCTTCGCCTTTGGGCGGTTGGGAAGCAGGGTTGGGGAAGGGAGGCGTTGGGCTGTCTGTAGGGAAACAGAGACTCTGCTTTTGGATTCTCTGGCATCACTGGCCAGGTGAGGGTGCCGGTGCTCAGAGGTGGCCCAGCCCTCGGGCTTTTCAAACCGGAGAGAAGTGAGTTGCCAGTGGCTGGAATCAAATGAGTTCATCTCCCGTGTTCTTTCTCTCAAACTTTGTTGTCCTCTCAGGGGATGAATGGAAAAGGAGTGGAGGCCAGAGTGGGAAGAAGCAGTTTTTGTCCCTGGGTCAGGGGCTGGCTCTCCCAGGTCACCACCAGGAGGCGACTCTGGGAGGGAGTCACAGACAGTGCCTGGGAGAAGGCACAGCTCTCTGAGGGAGATGACATCATCCTCGGTGCACAGATGGGGAACTTGAATGCAGGAAAGTTGTCAGCTATGGGCGAAGGAAGGGTTGGGCAGCTGACCCGAGACCGTGACAAGCTCCCCACGGTGGTACAGGAGAGACGGTCTGATATTGGCAAGAAAGGGAGTCGGGGGAGCACAACGACTACCCCCATCCTCAGACCATTCTCTCCCTCCCAACCTCTGACCTCTCTGAGGCCAGGTGATGGGTCTGGCTTCATCTGGCACCTCTCTCGGAGGGCTCTTCCGAGGAGCTCTGGGTGATAGCTGGGGCCAGGTCAGGTTCCTCTTGACCAGCCACATCTTGACCAGCCCGCCCTGCTGCTATAGCCTTCCCCCTACATCTCGGGGCTCTCCAGAGCAGTGCCGGCCCCAGACCTTCAGGGCAACAGCTGCTGCTGCTGTGCACGGAGAGGGGCTCCCCACGCTCTCGCTGGCAGATTCTTGGCTCTGGGATACCCTTGGAGGGCTCTGGCTCCTGGGTTACTCAGCTACTACAGTGGTGGGAGCCTGAGGGCACGAGGGAAAGTCTATGGGTCTATAAGTGTTCTCTCTCTCTCTCTCTCTCTCTCTCTCTCGGCTCACCTGAGGAAGTACAGCTTTTTGACCAAAACCTCTTGGGTTTTGCTGGCTTCCTAGACCTTTCCAGGGGTGGATAAGTTTGAGCCTCTTCAGCAGCTGTGGGCCAGAGGCTGAGCTGACCTGGCAAAGAGCTGGAGTTTTGCAGCTCCAGCTTTGGGGCTGGGGGGTAAAGCAGAGGGAGAAGTAGGGCAGGACCACCTCACGCCTAGCTGGACAAAGAAACCCGCTGCTTTATTTTGGAAGGGTCGTGTGGCCTCTTCTGGAAGGTGTCTCCAGGCCTCCGGTCAATCTTGGCAAAGAGAGAAAGCTCTAGTCCAGCCATTGTCAAACTACAGCTCATAGGCTAAATGCAGCCTGCTGTTTGTGTAAATAAAGTTTTATTGGATCAAAGCCTGCTTACTTGTTCATGTATCGTCTCAGGCTGCTTTCCTGCTACAATGGCAGAAACCTCATGTCCTGCAAAACCTAAAATACTTACTGTCTGGTTGCTTACAAAAAGAAGTTTACTGACCCTTGCTCTAGACTTCCAAAGATCTGGTCTCCCGTTTCTCTGGCCTCCAAGTTCAGAGGCTCCCCGGACTGAGGGGATGAGCCTGGCCCAGACGGGAAGTGCCGTGAAAACAAAATGAGGGAACGGGGAGGTAAACATCTAGGATGGGTGGCATGCCCCCCCCCCCCCCCGTCCTCCTAGAAGCCGGAAGGCCCGCCTAGCACGAGTGAAAAGCAGAGTTGTTCTCCGATCCTCTGACCTTCTCCCTTCTCTGGCCCGTGCTGCTTTAGCTCTCCCTCAACATGGCCAACAAGGGTCCTTCCTATGGCATGAGCCGCGAAGTGCAATCCAAAATTGAGAAGAAGTATGACGAGGAGCTGGAGGAGCGGCTGGTGGAGTGGATCATAGTGCAGTGTGGCGCAGACGTGGGGCGCCCGGACCGTGGGCGCCTGGGCTTCCAGGTCTGGCTGAAGAACGGCGTGGTGAGTGGTCCCCTGGGAAGGGGGGCTGGGGCTCTGCTGGAGTTGTGAGGCAGGCGCCCCGAGCTGAGTGCCGAGCTGCGTTCTGTGCCTGGCAGATTCTGAGCAAGCTGGTGAACAGCCTGTATCCTGACGGCTCCAAGCCGGTGAAGGTGCCCGAGAACCCTCCATCCATGGTCTTCAAGCAAATGGAGCAGGTGGCTCAGTTCCTGAAGGCGGCTGAGGACTATGGGGTCACCAAGACTGACATGTTTCAGACTGTTGACCTCTTCGAAGGTACAGAGAGAAAAGGGGTGGAGAAGGTGGGTGCAGGACAGGAAGCTGAGGCAGAGGGGACGAAGGATGATCAAAACATGCCACACAACAGGTCTGCATAGTAGGAACAGGATGTGCCGGAAGGGTACCAGCCAGGCTCTCGAGGGCATCGTAGGATCTCCTGGAGCCTCCTTTGATCCTGGGACAACTTTTGCCCCTGGGTTGGCCATTTTTCTGAGAGGTGGGGCAGGCCCTGCCCTGGAGTCCCGTGTACATGGCCCTGAAGTTCACCCCCATCCCTCCTTTCTTCTCACAGGCAAAGACCTGGCAGCGGTGCAGAGAACCCTGATGGCTCTGGGCAGCTTGGCAGTGACCAAGAACGACGGGTACTACCGTGGAGATCCCAACTGGTTTATGAAGTACGCGGCCACCCGGGGTTCCTTGTGCTCCGAACCTGTGTCTTTGCAGGGAGATGGGAGGTGGCCTGGGCTGACTGTCAGGCCCAGCGGGGAGGGGAAGCAGATAGCTGGAAGGTCCAAAGTGAAGGTCTAGGCTGGGTAGGAAATGGGTCCCTGGTACTTGCCATCCTCCTTGGTCCACGGGGTGAGCCAGGTTAAGGAAACAAAGAAGTGAGATGGGGGGGGGGGGGGACATGGGACCGGTCTAGGAAGCGGCAGAGGAAACAGAGCACGGGAGGGGGGGAGGGGGGATGAAATGTGCAGTCCTGATGAGTCTTTATCCTGGTTTCCCCTCTTCCAGGAAAGCCCAGGAGCATAAGAGGGAGTTCACAGAGAGCCAACTGCAGGAGGGCAAACATGTCATTGGCCTACAGATGGGCAGCAACAGGGGGGCCTCCCAGGCCGGCATGACAGGCTACGGACGACCTCGGCAGATCATCAGTTAGAGGGAGAGGGCCAGCCCCCAGCCCTGTCCTTCCCCGGCTCGTCGGCTGCAGCCATCCTGCCTAGCCCGCCTCACCCGCACCCGTGTAGTTCCTCAGCCCCGGCCAAGCTTCGAGGCCTGTCACCGAGCAAAGGTGACCGCACTTGGGCAGCTCTCCCCCACCCCTCAGCCTCAGCCCAATTTCTTACCCCCAAGCACCACTCCCCTGACCCTCCTCCCAGCTCCCCCGCCGTCTCCCACCGTCTCACCCCATCCTGGGCCGGGCAGGGGGGACGTGGGCTGGGGGTAGCCTGGGCGGGGGGCAAGTCCACTAGCCTCCTTGGCAACAGACGCCTATTGAAGGTAATCCTGCCCAACCTCCCTCCATTTATTTTTTTTCTGGAATATTTTGGGGGTTGAAATTCAGAAAGGAAACAAATATATACATCAATCTTTTCTCAGGCCTGGCTGGCAGAGTTTGATTTGCCCTGGTCACTTCTGATTCTAGGAAACATGAGCAGGGAAGAGGCAGGCAACATTTATGTGGGTTCCTGAAGGCCAGCTCCGAAGGACCTCTCAAATTCTAGGACCTCAAGGGGGGCCAGTTTCCTTCAGAGGGCCACGCGGAGGAGGAGAGTGGATCTCGGGGACCGGGGACCAAAGGCCAAGGAGAGCAACCTGGCAACTTGCATTAGCTCTGGGAGGCAGATGAAAGGAGCTGGGGAGGGCAGAGTTGCGTGGAAGGTTTTTATTTTGGAAAAGCTGTGCAGAAAAACATTCAACCAAATGTTGCTGTGAAAAGACAAACCCAAATCTTAAGCGTTAAAAAAAATTTAGATCAACCAAACTAGCTCAGAAGAGGGGAGGAGGCCAGTAATGGTGGGAGGACTCACAGCCTGTCAGGCAGACGGCGGGCCTCCAGCGGGTAAGGCCATTTCCCTGAGCACTTTGCAGAGGAAGACAGGGCGGTCGCAGGGCTGGAGTGGCAGTGGCCGAGCCCCGTCATAGTCCTGCTGCAGACTACCGTAGTGAGGCAGCGCGGGCCCTGGGGAGCCGTGCCAGGAGCATCGTACCGATCCCTCAGGACGGAGGGTGGGGGGCGGTGGTGAAGGAGTCAGGGGTATGTTCAAGGTTGGCTTCTGATCAGGGCTAATGGAGGCAGCTGCTTTCAGGGCGAGTGTGGCTGGGCTGAGGGCTGACTGCCATACCTGTATGTCCTAAGTTCCAGGCGTAGGCAGGAAGGTGAGGGAGGGAGAGGAGGGGACTGTGGTTTCTAGGTCCTGGGTCATCAAAAGGACAGGCATATATGCAGGGGCTCTTCCCAGCCTTCACCCTGAGCCCTCTTCCTAAGTGACCCCAGTGATGTTTCCACTGAGAGGCTCTTCTGGCCTGGTGGGCACCGCCCTACCACATGGGTGAGGGTCCCTGTGACCCACATCACCGGCCTGCCCAGGAGAAATGAGGAAGCAGGCCTGACAAATGGGAGGGGCCGAGCCTTTGTCCAAGACCTTCTCACCAAAAGCTTTCAGGAGGAGGAAGATCTGGAGGCTATGGCCACAATGTCCTCTGGCACCATTCCTCTGTCACTGCACCTTGAGAAGTCCCTCGCCCTCCCTGAATGTAGTCACAGGGAGCTCTTGAGGCCTGTGGATTCCCCATGTTAGCATCAGGGCCGCCTTCTCCCCAGAGTTCCTGGGACTTCGGAGCAGCTTTCCCAGCTTCCCTGGCTCGGGGAAGGAAGAGCCTGGCCCACGTTGAGTCTGCTGGGCCCTGGGTCAGCAAATCTGCTCCTCTTTCCCCTGCAACAGGTCTGGGGGTAGCTGATGACGAGGGTGGTCCAGGGCCCTCCTGTCCTGGGACAGGCCCCAGTCCCCTTGATCCAACAGGTCCGGGACAAGGGGGCCAGAGGTGGTGGCAGGGCGCTCACTTTCTGTCTCCACCCCATCTGGATCTTTGCTGTTGCAGAGTGGCACTGATTCCAGTTCTGTCCCCTCCTCCCTGGCTTTTTGGCTTCGTTGGGGCCAGTGGCAGGGTCCGCTCCTACAAACGCGGTGGGAGGCCACATTCCTCTGGCTCAGGTATATTTCCAGCATGTAGTAGACGGTCCAGAAGATGGTAAAACTGCCTACCAGCACCAGAGTCTGGGAAAGGTCAAGCACCTGAGTTACGGATGGTTTCCCAAAGCCCTGTGGCTTTCCTCAGCCCAGAACGATGAGCTCAGAAAGTCTCTCACCTCCCAGGGACTGCTGCCCACCTCAAAGCACTTGACCCCACTGAGCAGTGCCCTCTTCGAGCTGGCTAGTAGAGTGGGGACCCAGGTCTTCCCCCCCCCCCCCTTCTCAGGTCACTTGGTGCACCCCCCCGCGGCCCCCCCGCGCCGCCCCCCCCCCCCCCCAGCCCTCCTGCCCACCTGGAGCTGGAGGCTCGGCCCTCGTACCTTGAGGGTGTTAGGGGTGATGGTGTAACCATCTTCCTCAGGGATTTTCAGCCCAGGAGGACAGGGCAGAGTGAAGCCATCATGCAGGTATTTTCCACTCATGGCACTTTCTAACAGTCTGTGGAGAAGACAAGGGATGAGAACCCGCTCTGGAACTTGGTTCCTCTGCCTCCTGCCCTCACCCGTCCTCCCACCTTATCGCCGAGGAGAGGGAAGTCCCAGGGCAGCAAGGGGGGGGGGGGTGGTGGTGTAGTGTGGGTTCCCAGGGAGGAGGGGGCCCTCAGTGGCCTCTCCCAGCCCCCGGAGCTGCCGTCCCTCCGGCACACGAGTCTGGCACCTACCGCTGTCTGTCCCTGATGTCGACTGGGCTCCACACAGAGCCATACAGGGTCAGCTGCCACTGTTGGAGGGTGCCGGCCCGGGGCGTCTCGTCTCCTAGAGGGGCAAGAGAAGCACCGTGAGCCCTGCCCCTGTGCTGGCCGTGTGAGCAGCAGAGGCCCTGCCCGCCCCCCCAACCTGGGGGCTTGACCCCACGGTCAGCTGAGGCTGTGCGTGTCCCACTGGCTGGGGGGCTTCTGCAGATGCGCCTCACGGGTGCCCTCAGGGATGGACACGGGGAGGCTGGGAGGTGGGACTCCGAAGCAAGGAGGCTCGGCCTTTAGCTCTTTCATATTTTCAGGTTTCAGCTGGGATTTTGCTTGGGGGAGGAAATAACATGTCCTTCTACTAAATTAAAGGAAAGTTTGAAAACCACTGGTCTAGGGAATACCTAGCTTGACTGGAAGCCGGGAGAGCTGGGCTCAGTTTCCAGTCTCCTCGCTGGAATACTGTATGACCTTGCACCGGCCACATCAGACCTCTGGGTGTACCTCGGTTTTTCAAAAAAAAAAAAAAAAAAAAAAAAAGAAAAGAAAAAGAAAAAGAAAAAACCAAAAAACCAAAACAACAAAAAACAAAACCAAAAAACGGTGAAAATTAGTCCTGCCCTTACCTGCCTACCAGGGCTGGCCGAAGCACGGTTATATGTGAAAGGACTTGAAATGTGGTTTCAACAAGGAATTTTTGTTGCTATCCTGAGGAAAAATGGATCAGTCACTTCTCCAAGGAATATGAGAGGGAGTACCAACGAACAAGTTCAGATTTCGGTGCCCATATTCTAGATGGGGCGTACTTCTTGGCATCTACCCTGTTGGTCCAATGGCGACCCTACGTATTCCCCGTGGGACGGTTTCTGCGGGGACTCTGAGCTCCAGAGGGACCAGATGGAAGGGCAGGCAGGCTTACCCACATCCCTGATAACAAGTCTGTAAGTCCCCTTCGCTCTCTCCCCCCAGCATCGCACAGTGGAGAAGGTCCAGTCATTGAAGCCATTGGGATCTCTGGGGGAAAAACAGAGTGGAAAACCTGGTAGGCGCGGGGCAGGGAACTGACCCTCGGCCCACAGACGTGATTTCCTCCCTGGAGCAGCCATGAAAATGTAGCAGTTGTTGCCTGAGCTACAGTCACTAGGGAGTGTGCCCTGAGGGGTCCTCCAGTGCTGCCTCTGTCCCCTGGGAATGGGACAGAGGACTCGCATCGATGTGTCCTCATGGGAAAAGTAAAGGTGGCAAGACCACAGGCTGCGGGAGCTCCACAGATCTAGGCTTCCCGTTACTTCTTCAGGCACTTCCTACTCTGTGACTTGTTTCCGCACTTGTAAGGGCAGCTTACAAAGGATTAGAGAAAATATCTGTCAAGTGTGGCGCTTAGCACATTGTAAGTGACTTGTACAAAGCAGGTCAGAAATGGCTTCCAGCTGCCACGGTCAGCGGTGCCATGATAGCTCAGGCCGGTGCCAGAGTCCACTTTTCCCGTATCTCTTCCCCGCAAAGACCCTTGTTGCAAAAAGAGCTCAGAAGGGACAGACAGGTGTACGTACGAGTCCATGCTGCGGGGGGCGCCGATGAGGGACATCATGCCACTGGGGCAAAACAGTTTGAGTTCCAAGCTGCCGCGTCGTGGATGACTGATGGAGACGGTCACGGCCACGTGCTCTAGGGTCCTCAGCCCCGACATCTCCAGGTCCATCCTGCTGACTGTGGGAAGTCAGGCTGGGCAGCTGGGAAACCAGCCCCATAAGCACTTACGCCCTCCGTCCATCCCCGCACACACAAAGGCACATACTCATCGAGGCCACGTACAAACACCTAAGGCAGTCCTAACCAGGACCTATAGCATACATGAGTAAACGGAACGCGGAGGCTGCTATCAAGTGATTTACAATCTAGTTTAGACTCTCACTGGGGTGAAAACATACTCAAGACACAGGGTAAGAATCAAACAGAGCAATGTCATTCATTCAGCCAAAAAGTAACTTCGTGAGTCCCTCCTACGTTTCAGGCACGTACTAGACGCTGGGGATAGAAAGGGAAGTTGGACGTGACCTCTACCTTCTACCTGAAAGTGGAGAATGATACGGTGTGAGGAATACATAACTGATGCTAGAACAGAGAGGAGTCAGGTGGGTTCAGGCGCACGGCAGGGAGACCCGCCGAAGAAGGAGATGAATACAGACTGCTAGAGGGTTTTGGTAGGTAGCCGTGCCATCCAGGAGGGGAAATGGCACAGAGGTAGAGGTGGAGGTGGGCAGGTCTCTTACCGAAGGCGATACAAATCTCTAAAAACAACTACTGAAATAAGTACACTTCGATGAAATTATGCTGAATGAAAAAAATTCACTATTAAAAGAATGCATGGTGCACGATTTGCTTTGTGTGATATTCATGAATCACGTTAAGTGTGGAGACAGACGCCAGATTAGTGGCTGCTGGGCGCTCACAATGGGGCTGAGGGGACAACCACAAAGGGGTGATGAGAAAGTCCTGCGAGGATGTCGGGTTCTGGATCTTGATTGTGGTGGTGGACACACAAGGCCACATATGTGGTACAAACGCACAGAGCCTCTTCCCTACCCTGAGACACACACACACACACACACACACACACGCACACACACGAGTGCACATCTGACTGGCGAAATCTGAAT